ACACGGATGCACACATCCTTAAATGCTTTGCTAGTGCTCGCCATAATGAGATAAATAGAGATCGCTCTTACCACAGAAATGCACGCTTCAAACAAAACAGTCAATGAAGACGAAGAAAAGAATGATGTGTGCTCCCGGCGCCTATTTATACTATAGACGCACCAGTAGTGACGTCATGGCTGTCGCCGGCCAATGAGTTGGTGTTTTTTCAATGTATGCTTCAGACACGGGTCACGACGATGCGTTCCCCCATAGCGACCCCTAGAGGACGCAGTTCGAAGTTCCCATGAAAGGGAACTGAAGTTTCAGTATAAACCTAATGTGTTAGCATAATGATAGAACTCTATTATTACACTAATAGATGTATCATGTTGCTTTGAGAAATGATCTGTCAGTGTAATTTTACATTGGCACTCACTGCTTCTGGCAGTCAACCAAATGTAACTCACCTTTGTGACTACATTTGTAATTGTAATAGTTATAGTTACATTAAATAACAATTTAATGTACCTCAAAAGAGGTGATTTTACCTCGTAGCCCTGCAATCGTCCAAGATTCATCATGTCGTTACATTGTTTGGGCACCAGGGACATCAGCTCAACTGCTTTCTGCAGGACAGAAATTAAAGACCAGCAATGTCAAAACATGACAGGACACTAAAGATAGAAGTGTATGTGGTCTATAGAATTTATATATATTAATATAGAATTGCTTTAGTGACCTACCTCTGTCTCTTTACAGTCCAGACCTGCTTTAGTGCTGTATTTCAAAAAGTCCTTCAAATAACAAATAAAACAAATAAACTTAAAATAGGATAATAATCTGTCCATATAGCATTGTTATTGTTAAATAAATAAATAAATGTATGTGTATATATATATATATATATATATAATAAAAACAGGGCCACCATGCAACCATGCAAACTGTAATAGACTGAATGAGGACAACGTTCTCTGTGATTTATGAATGCATATTTGTTCCGTCAAGGCTTGCTGTGCAGAGCATATGTTTATGCACAGCTTTAGTGAGAAAAGGGTTTACAATTCAATAAACACACACTGTTCTGACTCTTATTTTATTAGTTACTTAAGTGGAGAAAAACCACAGAAGATCCCTCGGTAATCTGCTAACACCCACATACTGAGAGATGTGTACGCCGGTACAGACTCCCAGATTCTCCAGCGACTATTTAAATGAGCCTTGAAAATCATAAAGTGTGATGCTGACATAATGTTTTCTGGGTGTTTTTTGTGCATTGCTAGTGTCTTTCAGACGAATCAAATCGGAGTTATTAAAAAATATCCTGGCTCTTCCAAGCTTTATAATGGCATTGAATGGGTGTTTTTTTTTCAATAGTCCAAAAGAAGTCCAATAAAGCGCATCCATCCATCATAAAAAGTGTCCCACATGGCTCCGGGGGGTGAATAAAGGCCTCCTGTAGCGAATCAATGCGCTTTTTTTGTAAGAAAAAAATCCATATTTAAAATTTTATAAGCAGTAATCTCTAGCTTCCGCTAACTGTTGTACACACGTTCATTCCGGCAGATGACATTGGATGTAGGTGTAGAGTAAGGAGGCCTTTATTCACCACCCAGAGCCATGTGGGACACTTTTTATGATGGATGGATACGCTTTATTGGACTTCTTTTGGACTATTGAAAAAAAACACCCACTCACTGCCATTATAAAGCTTGGAAGAGCGATTGGATTCGTCTGAAAGAAGAAAGTCATATACACCTAGGATGGGTTGAGGGTGAGTAAATCATGGGATAATTTTCATTTTTGGGTGAACTATCCCTTTAATGCTTTTATTCAGCAAGGACTGAGTAAAGACTTTAACATTGTTACAAAAATGTATATTCCAAATAAATGCTGTCTTTGTGCATCAAAGAAAAAATGCATCACAGTCTCCACAAAAATATTAAATATAACTGTTTTTGACACTGATAATAATTAGAAATGTTTCTTGAACAAATTAGCATACTAGAAGTATTTCTGAAGGATCATGTGACACTGAAGACTGGAGTAATGATGCTGAAAATTCAGCTTTGCATCACAGAAATAAATTACCATTTTAAAATATATTAAATAGAAATTAATTTAAATTGTACTAATATTTCACAATATTACAGTTTTATTGTATTTGTATCAAATAAATGCAGCCTTGACAAGCATAAGAGACTTCTTTAAAAAAAACATACTGACCCCAAACATTTGAACAGTGGTGCATGGCTCAGATTCCATGCAAGTCTATGATAGCTTAGTGGGAACTATGTTTACCATGGTAAGCATTGTAAGGGTATAATCATTGTGTAATTCAGTAGCTAATACCTTGAGCAGGAGCTGGTATTTGGTGATCCTCTGGATGGGTTTGATCAGGTAATCGCTGATGGACAGCCTGGAGTTTACCTCCTGCTGCACCTCCTGACAGAAACACCAACAACATCATCAGACAGAGCACTTTACTTCAGAGAAGACATAACTGAGCTGCTCAAATAACACTCACCTCGAAGAATGCGTCATATTCAGCCACGACAAACTCTGAGCGGGGCTTGTTCTGACAGTAGATGACATACATGTGTAACCTTCTCTCCTTGATAAACAGAGAAAACAACGGAATTAAGTTTACTACAACACACACACACACACACACACAGAGTTCATTTTGTTGAACTCACATGCTTGATAAACAGCTCAGCCAGTCTGTCGTGGTCCTGCAGACATTTCTCTAGTTCACAGAGGAAGAACCTTTAAAATTAAGAACAGAAAACATTTTGTCAGGTGTATAAACTACCCTCATTCGAACCAAATTAGATTCCAATCTGAAATTCAGTCCATTTCCTTCTGTAGTGTGTTATTGCTAATGTGAACCAGGAAATTTTACGAGCACGTTTTGCATGCTGATTATTTTGATGGTATCAGTTTCTGACAGCATGAAAAAGAGGTGTGGTTTACTCTTTATGCCAGTCGTAGATTTGATGAATGTTCCCGAATACGATCTTATCCTTCCCTGTCATGTCCTCCGGAACACCTTTTTCCCCAATCCTTCTCATAAAGCCCTAGGAAAAAAGAGGAAAACAGACATTTGGAAACTCTACTTCATAATAAAGGTTCGTTAATGGTTCTTTGTGGCACTTGAGGTTAGGAAAATCTTATCATGAACCATTTTGCACTGTATATGATTCTCTGGAGTTTAGAAAAAAGTTTCTTGATGTCACATTATACACTACGTTCTTCAGATCACTGTTTAATTTCTGTCCAGTAACTTTTATAAATCTGTAACGTGATACAGAAAACATATACCTATAACATACCTCCACTATGACACCCAGATCCTTCACATAGTCCCTCTCTGTCTGCACCATTTCATTTAACACAAACCTGTGGACAGGGGAGATACGAGAGATATCAGAATACACTAGAACATCCACATCTTCCAACTAGCACACTAAGATTTCAATCTTTATTTGTTGTTGAATTCATTTAGCAGTTTCTCTTCTTGTCATACACTCAGATGGGTGCTTACATTCGCCCTCTCATGGCCTTGTTCTTCTGCTCTGTTTCTGGGTCTCTGGGCATCTGATCAGATGGTGTGACGCTACCCAACACTGGGAAAGAGCCAGGCTCTGGAGTCTGAAAGAGAAAGTGAAAAGAAAGCGAGATAGGATGATAAGATACACAAACAATAGGTAAAAGGTGTTAAAGGAATAGATAAAAATGTCATCATTTACTCATCCTCATGTCATTTCAAACCTGTTTGTCTTACTGAACAAAACTTTGGTGAACTGAATCAAATGATTCATTTAAAAGATCTGAGAAAAAGTCATTGGTTGACTGAAGAACGTTAAGGAAGTGTGAGTTGATGAAAAGCTAATAATAAAATAATAAAAATGTAACATTAAAATAAGTACTTTTTTAAAACTGAACACAATCAAAATAAAACACTTACTAAAAAGATGACATATTTTATTAGTTTACCTTCATCTCATGTTGCCATTTACGAATATCAGAGAACTGTGAACATGCAAATTTACTGTTGAATTATTGAAATATTAACTTAAAATTTCAGGAGGTACTAAATAATTGAGGTCAAACGGGTTCGACTGACAAAACAGTCAGCGAATGCCTGGTTTAGAACAATATGAAGGTGAGTAAATGATGACAAAATTTCCATTCATTCTTTTTAGTGAACTGTAGGGATATGCCGGTATCAAATTTTCATGTTGCGATTAATTGCTAATGCTTTTATCACGGTATACGGTGTGTTGTGCATTTTGACCAGTTGATGGGAAAAGTATTCTTAAAATGCATTCAAAATTCTGAATAATTTGTAATATATAATTATTCACGGTATTTAGAAGTGCCCACGATAACAATATCGTGCATACTCATTACTGTGATATATATTGCATTACCGAATACCGGCACATGTCGAGTGAACTGTTCCTTTAACAAACAGGACGAGGCATGCAGAGTCAAAAAAGGAAAAGGGCAAAACAACAATAAAAAATTTAAGAAAGTCTGTGTTTCACCTTCTCCTCCTGAGCGGAGGGGTCCTTGATGATCTCCATGGGGGGAGGAAGGGGTGTGTGGGGTTCGTCTTCAGCCTCCTCCTCTCCTCCGCTGTTCACTCCTCGTCTTCCTCTCTTTGGAGAAACAGAGAAAACGTCACACCCATTTCAATGGATTCATTAAAACCGCCACTGAAGTGCCGGAAGGAATCTATCATTCATAACCTCCAACAGTAAGCACACTTCTCATTAAACATGCATCTGTAGAGGAAGCTCTTTTACATTCAAATGCTTGAGCAGACTAAAATATGTGATGTTAGGTGTGGTTCCAGATTAAAAGGAAAGTGCATTTTTACGCGTTGTTTGGTATGAGGTATTATCACAATGCTGGAATGTTGAAACGTTGCCATCTTATGCAAGCATGTTTCCTAAATAGTTAATGGTTAATTGTTGTACCTCTTCGGTGCTGTCTTGGTGCGACGGTCCCAATTCGACACTCTTGCGGCCATCTCGTTTACGTTGTTTGTTGTTGGGTTTCTTGGCATTAGTGTTGTCGCCCTTGCCGTGGCTGAGACGTCGTACGGGGCTGGTGAGCCATTTTTTTAATGTGTTTCCAGTAGTTCCAGAGCGTTTAGGTCCCGGAGAACCGGTCGGCAATGATGTCACCGATGTCTGCGGCTGCAGCGATGTGGCGGACTCAGATTTGACCTCTGAACTTCCCACAGGACAGTTTTCTGTTGAACAAAAATGACAGAGAAATTACATAAAAGATATTCACAATACAGAAATCTTACAATGGAAGTAACAGTCATTCATTTTTATTTATTTAGTCTCAGTTATTTTCATTTTAGTCAATTAAACTAAAAAAAATAGAAATGTTGGCAACTAGCTGAAATACATTAATATTTCATTTTCAAATTACAATGCATATTTAGTTTATTTTATGAAGTAACAAAAATGTTTTCAAGGTTTTAGTTTTACATTTTTACATTGTTAGAAATAATTATTTTTCAAATCTTGTATTATGTATTATGGTTTTCCACCAAAAAAAAAAAAAAAAAAATGTAAATAGTGATATTAATTATACAGAAATCCTACACTGGAAGCAACAGCCAACCAATTAAAGCAAACAATTCAATTCCAACATAATATAGAATTTAGAAACTGGTCAAAACATTTATAACATGACATAACCTCAGAAAATGTCCATATAACACAGAACTTTCAATTGTCCTTTTACCAGCTCAGACCATTGAAGAAAAATTCACTCCAGCTGAAACACCAAAACCCACAGAACCAAACCCAACAGCAAAAAGCCAAGAAACCTGAGCAGACTGTGTTGGACATCAACCTCTCTGGTGCGGTGAAAGGAAAAGCATTTGTCTGGTCTATAGGTTATATGCAACTGTAGAGTGAAAAAACCAGCTTGACTTGATCTCAGCATAAAGGCACTCTGAAACTCCACATAGCAGGACATCACAACAAAGGGAATGTACACAAGCAAGGTACTGTGGAGTTCACAGCATGTGGAATGTCCCTCAGAAATGTCCCTCAGATTGTAAAATCAAATATCTAGTTATTTAACTATCACACTGAAGTACTGAAGACACTTCAACATAACATGTGTTAGCATGAGACTGGTGTAATAGAGCTGCTTATCAGACTTGTCTGTGTACAGATTTCTCCAATCTTTCAACTTATGTTACGACGAGCTAAAAGAGCAAACCCAGATACTTTCACTTGGTATCCAAGATGCCACAAATGCACATGGAAGGGCTGTTACATAACTATAGGGGGGAAAAAAAACAAGTACAGTTGACCTACAGTTCTGCATTTTGTTATGTGGATCTCATCTAAGGATCTGTAAATATAAACATTAAATGTGTAAATTAATAGTATGTATCCCTTTTCTAGAGTAATCATGGTAATTAAACAACAAAAATAATGCAAATTTAACTGATTTTTACAAGCTCATTAAAAAAAAACAATGAATAGGCTATATGTTGCTTGTGAAAAAGGGAATAAACAAAATTTTGGGTTTTCAGATTTTTTTTAATATTAGAAATGAATACTTCTGATTCAGCAAGGATGCATTAAATTGATCAAAATTGACAGAAAAGATTTTTATCACTAAAGATTACAAAGGATTTCTATTTCAAGTAAATGCTGTTGTTTTAAAACTTTTATTCATCTTTCAATCCATTAATTCATTCTTTCAAAAAAACAAACAAAAAAAACAACTGAAAACATTTCTGAAGGATCATGTGACACTGAAGACTAAAGTGATGGCTGAAAATTTAGCTGTGCCATTATAGTAATACATTTTCAAACATACTGAAATAGAAGAGAGTTTTTAAAAATTGTATTAATATTTCACAATATTACTGTTTTTAATACTAGCCTATTTTAATCAAATAAATGCAGGTTTGGTAAGTATAAGAGACTTTTAAAAACCATTTTTAAAAATCTATTCCCTCCTCAAACTGAGACAACTTTACAGCCCAAACAATTCTCTGTAAGGAATTCGTGTAAGTGCTAAAAAGTAGCTAAATTATGAGCTTTATGTTTCTGCTTTTAAACCCACCAGTACCAAAAGGTGCTAGTACTGTAAGCGTATTACTGTAACTGTGTTTTATATTTGTTAAGAGCAAAGGGATGAGTCAAAATGTGCGCTAATTAACATCGTCCATAGACATTGCTGCAAGTAACAAATAACCAGGAATATGATTAATCCTTAGAGGATGAGCCCAGATAAACAAGCTGAAGTGTAATCATGCTCACTGCTGTCGGCTTCAATGCAGATCATTAACTCAACGCTGGTTCAGACACTGCAATACTGAGTTACCGCAGACATTGCGTAAGTAACTTCCCATGGGGCGAAAATGGGACAAAGGTCACTTCCTTGTTACGCGTTTCTTCAAAGAGCCATTTACCCCCATCCATCCCTGAAACTGCCCCGCCAACACCCCCTCTCAGGTATTCACCATTTGGATCTCGCTCTGCTTGTCCTGACAGCCTCAGGGAGGATCCTCACTGACCACGTGCCGGGATAAAGCGCCTTTGTTAAAGTTCCGCTTCATTTCCTCAAGTTCCACTGCTGTCATTAGAACAGATGCCTCATAGTCAAGCATTCCAGACAACCTGAATCTTTATACTGCTACTTTATTTACATTTCTCTCTCAATATCAGAGGAGACACCCACCTGAAATAAACAGTCTCATGTACACAATTTACTGAAGTAACATTCTATCCAGAACAAAAACAAGACAGGACTAGAAGTCCTGTAGAAAATACAGGAACAAATGTATTGTGTTCATGCTCTTCAGGGTCAGCAGCAGTACTGCAGGGGGTCTGTCAATTATTGCTATTGATCTCAAATAATTTTTCAGTCAAAAGCATGACAATATGCATTAGATTAACAGCATTAAGCTATTAAAATATGAACTTTGAGCAATGCTAAAGAATGCTAAATTAAAATAAACCATACTGTTCATGTGACTCTGTACGTACATTAATAATGATTATTTGGTCACACGGTAACACTTTACAATAAGGTTCATTAGTTAACATTAGTTAACTACTTTAGTTAATATGAACTAAGAATGAACAATACTTCTACAGCATTTATTAATCTTAGTTAATGTTGATTTCAACATTTACTAATGCATTATTAAAATCAAAAGGTGTGCTTGTTAACAGTTAATGCGCTGTGAATGTATTTTCATTAACTAACATTAACAAAGATGAATAAAAACTGTAATAAATGTATTGTTCATTGTTCGTTCATGTTAGTTAATACATTAACTAACATTAATTAATGGAACCTTACTGTAAAGTGTTACCGGTCACACTTTACAATTAAATACATTAGCTACATTTGTAATCAGTCTGTTCATTGCAGAGTTATTGCAGTTAACTAAAACTAAAACCATTAAAAAACAATACTTGAAATAAATTAACCTTAAAAAAACTTACGTTTATTTCAGCTAGTTGCCAAGGTGACATTTCTAATTTTCATTAGTTTAACTTGATCTACCAAAATAACTAAAAATGAAATATAATATTAATATAAACTATATAGACATATTAAAAATAAAACAAAAACTATTAAAAATGACAAAACAAACTAACTTAAATTAAAATGAAAATGGAGAGAATATATA